CAGGGGACACAGGAGACCAAGCTCTCCTAAGCACACATAGGAAAATACTCACCTGCTACAGACAGTTGTGAAACTGAGGAGAAGCCTACCCAACCCATTGCAGCTACCAATAACACCAATATGAACTGCTTGGTTCCCAGTAGGTTGCTGCATCAACATAACTACCATTACTCACACTGTAACAACTACCCAGGGGACCTAAGAACCCATCCACACACCTAGCTCACCACTCCTACTACTAACTTCTAAGCAAGCACCAGGAGGCCACAGAATTGGCCCTACAGGACCCAGTAACACCAAGGTCAGTATGGGTGGCTGCAGGGCTTAAAAACAGGCATACCCAGCCCACTGCTTCCACCACCAGGGCCAGAAGACTGGCTCAGTTGGTGTCCATGTCTCCACCAAAATTTTACCTCACCTCAACTAATAACCATACACTAAGCCACTGAGAAAATCACAGATATCACTGACCCTGTGTACTGCCAAAGTCATATAAAGACCACACTACCACAGGCACCCAAAATCAAAGCCAAAGTATCTTAACCAACAACATATACAAATCTTCAGAAAATATTTCTTCCCTACAAAAATGCAATTTCAAAAAAATGGAACAAGCAATTGCTACACCAGATGCACAGATATCAAAAAAAAGGGCAAAGGAATCATGAAAAAGCAAGGAAATATGACATCACCAAAAGACCACAACAATTACCCAGCAATAGATACCAATTTAAAAAAAATTCCTCAAAATGCCAGAGAAAGAAACCAAAATACTGATTTTAAAGTTTAATAAGATGCAAAAGAAATCTGAAAACCAATACAAAGAAATCAGAAAATCAATTCAGGTTATGAATAAGAGATTTACCAATGAAACAGGTATCTTTAAAAAAAAAAAAGAAAAAGAATAAAGAAAACAGATGCGACAAATTAAAAAATTGAAGAAAATACAAAATATATTTGAAAGAGTTAATAATAGATTACACCAAGCAAAAAATAATAATAATCATCTCAGAACTTGAAGACAGAATGGATTTTGAAATAACGCAGTCAGACAAAAATAGGAAGAAGTATAAAAAGGAATGAGCAAAGCCTTTGAGATGTCTGGGGCTACTTAAAACAGACAAACATATGAATTATAACATTCCTAAGGGGAAAGAGAGATTAGAAAGTATAAAAAATCTATTTCAGGAAATAATCAATGAAAACTTTCAAAGTCTAGCAAGAGAGTTAGATAAGCCAGATACAGGAGGCCCAGCTATTCCCAGGAAAATACACTGTAAAAAGGACTTCACCATAGCATTTTATACTCAGAATGTGTCAAGTCAAAGTTAAAAAAAATAATTTTAACATTAGCAAGAAAGCATCTATCTAGTCACCTATAAATAAAACATTATAAAACTAACTGTACTTTTCAGCAGAAATCTTACAGTTCAGAAGAGAATGAATGGCATTTTCAAAGTCCTCAAAAACAAACAACAACAACAACAAAAAAAACCTGTAAGCCAAAAGTTGTATATCCTGCCAGAATAAGCTGAATAAATGAAACAGAAATAAAAAAATTTCCCAGACAAGCAAACACTGTGGGACTCAGTAGAAAAAAAAGTAGAAGGATCACAAATTAACACGTTAGCATCACACCTCAAAGAAACTAGAAAAACAAGAACAAATCAAACTCTAGAGTTAGCAGAAGCAAAGAAATAATGAAGATCAGAGCAGAATTAAATGAGTAAGAATAAAAACAAAACAAAACAAAACAAAGGATCAATGAGACAAAATGTTGGTTATTTAAAGACATAAACAAAATTGATAAACTGCCAGCTAGACTAACCAAGAAAAGGAAAGAAAAGATTCAAATACAATCAAAGAGGAAAAAAGGGGAAATTACAACTGATACCACAGAAGTAAGATAATCAGAGACTATTACATATAACTATATGCTCATAAACCAGAAAACCTAGAGGAAAAACTGATAAATTCCTGGAAACATACAACCTCCCAAAATTGACCCAGGAAGAAACAGAATTCCTAAATAGATCAATGATAATAGAAAGACTGAATCAGTAATTTAAAAATCTCCCAATAAAAGAAAGTCCAAGACCAGATGGATTCACAGCCTAAATATACAAAACACACAAAGAACAATCACCAACCCACCTGAAATGATTCCAAAACTACTGAGGAGAAAATTCTCCCTAACTCATTCTACAAGGCCTCTATCACCCTGATACCAAAACCAGACAAAGATACACAAAAACAAAAACTATAGACTAATATCTCCAATGACATCAATGGAAAATTCTCAACAAAATACTAGCAAATTGAGGCTGGCCATGGTAGCTCACACCTGTAATTCCATCACTTTGGGAGGCCAAGTTGGACAGATCATAAGGTCAGGAGTTTGAGAGCAGCCTGACTAAAAAACCCTGTCTCTACTAAAAATACAAAAATCAGCCAGGTGTGGTGGTGCCCGCCGGTAATTCCAGCTTCTTGGAAGGTTGAGGCAGGATAATTCTTGAGCCCTGGAGGTTGGCTGAGATGGTGCCACTGCACTCCAGCCTGGGAGACAGAGTAAGACTCTGTCTCCAAAATAAAAATAAAAAATAAAAAACACTAGGAAATTGAATCCAACAGCATGTCAAAAAGATCATACACCATGATCAAGTGAGATTTATCTCAGGGATGCAAGGATGGTTTAATATACACAAATCAGTAAGTGTTATACATCACATAAACAGAATTAAGGACAAAAATGAGATAATCATCCCAACAGATGGAAGAAAAAGCATTTGATAATATTCATCTTCCATTCATGGCAAAAATCCTCAACAAACTAGACACAGAAGGAACATTCCTCAACATAAAAAAGGCCATGTATGACAAATTCTCAGCCAATATCATAATGAATTTGGGAAAAGTTTAAAAGATTCCCTCTAAGAACTGTAACAAGATAAGGATATCCACTTTTACCACTCTTGTTCAATACAGTACTGCAAATCCAAGACAGAACAATGAGGCAAGAGCAAAAAACAAAAGGCATCCAAATTGGAAAAGAAGTAGTCAAATTATCCCGGTTGGCTAATGAGATGATCTTGTATACAGAAAATCCTAAAGACTCCACCAAAAATCTCTTAAATTGGTAAATTAATTCAGTAAAGCCTCAGGATACAAAATCAATGTAAAAAATCAGTAGTGTTTCTATACAACAATAAAAATCTAGCTGAGAACTAAAGCAAGGATGCAATTCCACTTACAATAGCTACAAAAATAAAATCAAACACCTAGGAATGTATTTAACTAAGAAGGTGAAAGATCCCTGCAAGGAAAACTAGAAAAGACTGATGAAAGAAATTGTAAACAACATAAAAAATTGGAAAAACATCCTATGCTGTTAGATAAGAAGAAATAATATTATTAAAATGACCATATGGCCCATAGCCCAAAGCTACAAGTTCAATGCAATCCTTATCAAATTACTGATGTCATTCTTCACAGAATTAGAAAAAGCAATTCTAAAGTTCATATGAAACCAAAAAAGAGCCCAAATTGCCAAAGAAATCCTAATCAAAAAGAACAATGCTGGAGGTACACATTGCCTCACTTCAAAATATACTAAAGGCTACAGCAACCACAATAGCGTGGTACTAGTATAATCTGTGTTTGTTTTCCAGCTATAAAACGAGAATAATACTTAGGGTTCTTAGAATGAAGAGATTACATATACAAAGCATTTAGGAGAGTGCCTACTAGACAGCGATCTGTACAAGTGTTATTGAAGCTTGCTTTCTTAAGTATCAAAGATACCACTCTCTCCTGAGTTTCTTCCTCCTTCTCTAGACCATCTCTGCTTTTTATTCATGCTACTTTCTTTCACTGAATCCTTCAACATGGTTCTCTTCTGCTCTACGCTTTGGCTCAAATTCACCTAAATTGGAGACCTTTTGGGGGTCAGATTCCCAAATCCATTTGCCTACTGGACACTACTATTTATATACCTCTAAAGATAGTTTTGGCTAGGAATTAGAAACAAGTTTTCTGAATTTCTTTGCCACTCTGGTCTAATTGTTCTCTAAGACCTACTGATTCAGCTTCTTTATCCTCTAAAACAAACCATTTATATTCAAATTCCTCCTCTATATTATCAATATGATCTCAGGCAAATTGCTTAATCTTTCTGAAACACAGTGTCCTTAATAACACTATCTATGTCATAGGTCTTTGTGATGATTAAATAATATATGTAAAGCACTTAAAACACTACCTAACATATAAAAAAATGCAATGAATGTTAACTTTAGTCTTTATTATTACTATCTCTTTTCAATGTCCTTCCCATCATCCTCTCTGCCACTGGCCTAGATCATCAACTTCCCATCTAAATTACTGTAACTGCCTCTTAACTAAACATCTTTCCTCTAATCTTACCTTCTTCCATATATTCTCTACCTAGAAGTAAAGTTTTTTAAACTCAAAGTAAATCAAGTCTTTCTCCTGCTAAAACTTACTAAGGGCTTCCCATAGCTTTTACAGTATTATGCAAATTCCTCAACATGCATATACAAACTGTTTGTTTTACCCCAAAGGAAAGTACAGAGCAGTCTCTCCTCCCGTAATTTCCAATTCAATTGTCCTGATCTGTCAGAATCAAAAGCTTTCTCATGTTCACATATCACAATGCTAATACCACATCTATTAATTTTAATTTGAGATTAGGTGATTAATCTGTCAGACCCCACATAAATGTGATTACCTTTAATTCAGGAACTATATTTATTCATCTTTGTACCTCAGAAACTTACTCCAATGTTTCACAGACGAATTTGATAACTGTTTGCTAAATAAATACCGAATAATGAAGAATAACTTATTATAGTATTCAATTTCAAATGTTATGACAAAGATAAACACCATACCTAAAGTATACTTCTTATAAATAAACTCAATATTAAAAAACTTCATTCCTTTTAGTAGGAAAAAGCATTCTGAGTTACAAAAATTCTTACCTTAATATATTTCTTGCTATAATCACAACCTGGCTGTAGGGATCGGATATCTATGTAATTTACTTAGTGGCTCAACTTCAGGCACCCATTGACTTTCCTTATTAATTCAAGTGGCATATCGGTTCTGTTTCACACTGATGTCCAAAGCAAATTCAGCTAGAGAAGCTGACAACTTGTTGCTGAAAATACAAAATCAGTGTTTTACCCAAAATGCAGTCAATAATATGCTTTAAGCCTCTTTGACTTAGCTTGCTTTTCCTTCCCTTTATTACAGTTAACACGTTTAGGGTTGGGAGTGGCAGGAGGATGGATTATTTTACATTTTATTGCAAAGATCAATACATAACATTCTTCCAAGGATCTGAAACTTAACCATTTTCTACCTAGCTTGTATATTTTAAAAACTAGCGCTAAAAAGCCAATTTTAAGATCTGTAACAACTTCACTAACAAACGCCTTTAACATTGTGCTTTAAAATGTAAAAGTTATTGGGGAAGAGGAGGCTGAAAAATCGTGTTGTTTTGTTTTAACCCAAGGCAGTTGTAACTATTGCATAGGCAAATTGTGCACAAAAAGCTTAGTACTCCAAGACGTTTCTGTGGCCTCCTTCCTTCACCCGCTAAATAACAGGGAAAAAAATTACTGAACTGAGGTTAACTTGCGCCTCGTAGGCTCAACCTTATTACACAAACCTCTTGACTGAAACACCCACAAGTATCGGTACCTAATTTTAATGTATGCGCACCAACCTTCCCCCAAGCCACCCAAAACACCAAAAAAGATGCTGAACACAGCAAGCTGGAGATAATCACGCGTAAGAAATGTTTCTCTGCGATAAATTACGTAAGTTTGATCTAAACAAATTCAATCCCGGGCCAACGCGTTCCGTCTGGTACCCACTCAGCGAACACACCAAACCTTAGAAACTTCACTCACCCGCACTCTAGAAAGAAACCTACGGCGAGTCTAGCCGGGCGCGCACGTGACGTCATACGCACGCTGGCCGTACAGCTCCACGCATGCGTGCAGGGTCGCTGGGCATACACAGCCGCTTGCCCTCCGCCCCAGGAGGACAAGCTGCGTAACGGTTCACACGCTGAAGGCGCCTGGAGGTTTGAGGAAATACGAACCCGAAACGGCGCCAGCAGGAACTTAGGGCCAAGGTACAGGCCCCACCCCGTCCGGTCACATCCCCCAGAATTCTTGCCGCTCCCGTTAGCTCCGCCCCAGTCGCTTTCCCTCTTTCGCGGCGGGAGGCACCCTCAGGAGAAGCGGGCGGGTCTGCTGGGCGGGATTTGAGCTTCCGTTGGTTGACTGGAAGCTCCTGTAAGCAGGGCCCTTCTTTTAATGTCCATTTCTCTTCCCTCAAGAAGTAGCCACCTACTGCAGTGTTTATACAAGGAAGCATTTACAAGGATAACAATATGATTTGAGAGTTTTTATGATAATTTCAGGCGTTGGCATATTGCCACCAATGAGTCTTGCTATTTACAGACAGATATGATTAACCTTGCCATTGTTTTATTGGGCTATGATTTTGTGGTATAATCAATATTTATTATAAATTGTTATAGATTTATTATACTTTCTTGTTTAATATTTATTATAACCTGTAATTGATAAATATTATAATTTATCATTTTTAATGATAAATTGTTAAATGTGACTCCTCTGCTAATTTCAGATATATGCCTTCCATCATTTAAGTGAAACCATCTTAGTGTGAAACCAAGTGTAATAATTACATGAATATTTCCAAGGCTAATTTGAACTAAAATATCTTCTCTATATACATATTTGCAGGATGATATAGCTAGCTATATTTAAAGCGCCTTTTTTTTTTAAAATCAACAGGAAGCATTCAGTGCTAGTCCAAATTCCGTTTCCCTTCCCCATCCCTGTAGTTATATCCCACGCAGAAGCCAGGGGTGATAAGTGCATGAACTCAAGAGCTGTCCATTTGAGGAAAACTATGAGGAAAGTTTAGATGCTATCCTCCTTCCTTCTCTGGTTTCATCCAGCTGTGAAATACTGTTCCTTCTTTTTTTTTTTTAAATGTACTTTGGGCTCTGGGGTACACAGGATTGCTGCATAAGTACATACATGCCACCTCACCCCCCCACCACCGGGTCACCTACGTTAGGCATTTCTCCTGGTGTTATCCCTCCCCATCCTTCCCCCCCACCCCGCTGTCCCTTCTCTCCCCTCCACCTAGCCCAGTGAGTGATGTTCCCTTCCATGTGCCCAAGTGTTCTCATTGTTCATCACCCGCCTATGAGTGAAAACGTGGTGTTTGGTTTTCTGTTCTTGTGTCAGTTTGCTGAGAATGATGGTTTCTAGATTCACCCGTGTCTCTGCAAAGTATGCAAACTCCTCATTTTTTTTATGGCTGCATAGTATTCCATGGTGCATATGTGCCACATTTTCTTTGTCCATTCTATCATTGATGGGCATTTGGGTTGATTCCAGGTCTTTGCTATCATAAACAGTGCCACAATGAACATACGTGTGCATGTGTCTTTATAAAAGAACAATTTATAATCCTTTGGGTATATACCTAGTAATGGGATTGCTGGGTCAAATCGAATATCTATTTCTAGATCCTTGAGGAATCGCCACAGTCTTCCATAATGGTTAAACTAATATACACTTCCACCAACAGTGTAAAAGTGTTCCTTTTTCTCCACATCCTCTCCTGCATCTGTTGTTTTCAGATTTTTTAATAATTGCCATTCTAACTGGTGTGAGATGTATCTCAATGTAGTTTTGATTTGCATTTCTCTAATGACCAGTGATGATGTGAAGTCCTCCACATGGGCTTTGGATCCTGACCACTTTCATCTCCCCTCCGTCATCAGTAATATATCTTCTCTCAATGTATTTTCAGCTTTCCTTCTTTATTCATTCTTTCCCTTCAGCATTTAAACACATTCTCCCAGGGTCTTGCTCTGTCGCCCAGGCGGGAGTGCAGTGGCAAGATCATAGATGATTGCAGCCTGAAATTCCTCGGCTCAGGGGACCCTCTGGTCTCAGCCTTCTGAGTAGCTAGGACTACAGGCACAGGCCACCACACTCAGCTAATTTTTTAAAAAAAAATTTGTGGAGACGTGTTCTCACTATGTTTCCCCATTGGTCTCACACTCCTCTGACTCATTGTGGACACTAAATATTTGTTGAATGAACAAATGCTGTGGAAAACTATTTATCTTACTTCACTTCTGACTTCCACCCCTCCATCCCACCCCTAAGGCTCTCCCCATTACACTTAAACTGCCCTTAGGAAAACCACTGAAGAACTCTTTGTTGCTAACCCAAAATGACATTTTTAGTGTCATATTTTTGAAAACATTCTTTATGCTATAGCATGGACCTAGTTTTCCTCTTACCTTCTACCAACTGAATCTTTAAAAATTTCTCATCATCTGTTAAGCCTGTAAGTATCCATGTTCTATAGAATGTGATGAAGATATCTAACAGAGGTATACATAAGTCCTTTTTTTGTTGTTGTTAAAGTGATCGTTCCCAGTTCCTGTAAGACACAGACACTTCCTACACATCCAATAACTTAGAATCTTATTTTTTCTGCGTAATCTCCCAATTAGTGGCAGAGGCTCCAGAGCTTCTAATGCTTTCCTTCACAATAGCAATTAGTTTTCACAAATGAAGAAAATTTCTCATGAATGTACAGTACAATTTAAGATAATAAGAGAGGGAAAAAAAAAGAGATTGATTCAACTGAATAAGGCAACGAAGACATATTAATGCCAAAACAATTCATTACTGTTATTCTATGCCTGTTGAAGCAGCATTAAAAAGCTACTCTAAAGCTAACAATTAATGTAACTGTTATTAAAAGGTATGACTTTTAAAGGTGCAATGAAAAAAGTATTTATATAAAATCTACAGTGTAAAAATCTTCAATTTTAAGAAAAGTTAAAATGAAATTTTCATTAATCAGTAATGAAGACCAAAAGCAGAATGGGTAATTTTTTAAGTGATACATAAATATAAGGTTTCAGTGCAGTTATTATAAATAAATCAAAAGTGAAATTAATCTGCAAATTTCTGGCACATCTTCCCTCTGATAGCATTTTCATATTATCCTTTCCTATTTACTTTTTAATGTCTAAATGTAAAATTGAATTGCCTAACATGTCCAACACTTCAAATTCATTTCCTTTGCATTAATTGTGAGATGATTAACCCATTCCTATTCGCAGTCTATCTATTCTGCAAGCTGTTGTCATCAGGTTGCATCCCTGGCATCTGAAAATATCATCATCTTACCCCTGGGATTTTCTAGCAATGATAGCTAGGCTACATTAGTTGGAGTTCATTTCCTTGTATCTAATAGCCTTTCTGCCCAATCCCAATGAACATCTAAATGGATTTGTAAAATCCTGTTTCAGTAAAGCATCAGATTTTTATATTGTTACGTAGCTGAACCAGGAGATAAATAAAACACAAACTTTTATAAAATGTATGTTTAAGTTATAAATTTAAATGATAAAGCATGTAATCACTCAGTGAATATTAGAAGAAAATAAAGATTTTTTAAAACGTAATATTAGGTACCACAAATTGAGACAACATTAGTGTCTATTGAAGAGGTCTCCGAAAAGCTTTTATATTTTAATAATTAATTTTTTAAAATTTATTATTTAAAAAAGTCCTGTTTCAGTTTAAAAATTATCTTTCCTTCAGTTCCTACTCATTTTAAGTATTGTCCAAGAAAAAAATAACCTATATTCAAATTTTAATTATAAACTATAAGAAGGTCAATATTTTATAGTGTATTGATTCATACAAGTGAATTACAAATGTACGCATTCTCTTGTTCAAAGACTATAAGAAATGTATGAGTTCCCCAAAATAGAAATGTTTCCTGATATACCTCATATATAACATTTTCTTACTTTCTTTTTCTTTCTTTGTTTCTTCCTTCCTTCTTTCTCTCCCTCCCTCCCTCCTTTCTTCCTTTCTTCCTTTCTTCCTTTCCTCTTTTTTTCTTTCTTTCTTTCCTTCCTTGTTTCTTTCTTTCCTCTTTCTTTCAAGACAGGGTCTCGCTCTGTTGCCCTGGCTGGCATACAGTGGGAAGATAATAGCTCCCACTGTATCCTCAACTTCCCAGCCTCAAGCAATCCTCTACTTCAGCCTCTTGAGTAGCTAGTACTATAAGGAGGCAACATTATGCCCTGCTAATTATTTTTATTAGATGTGAAAATCTCACTGTATTGCCCAGACTGGTCTCAAACTCCGGGTTCAAGTGATCTTCCCACCTTGGCCTCCCAAAATGGTGAGATTACAGACATTAGCCAACATTTCTGACATTTTTTTAATTAGTTTTTTTTCTTTTGAAAAGGCTTTATATAAACTTAAATTTACCAAGTACTTGACATTGAGCAAGACCATTTAACAATAAGTTCAGTACAAACAGGCATAGCCCTGGCCTGTTTGGAGCTTACAGTGGAGACAGACTAGTATCTCACATCATAATCAAAATCTTGCATTAATTTATCTGAATTTTGAAAAAAGACTCTGTCTCCACTGTGTGACTATGGTGAAACTGGCTCACATTAAACAAAGTCACATTGATATTAAAAACACCTGATAATACAAATGTATTAAATTCCAACCAAAAGTTTTAAATTGTTAGCTATGTAACTGGAATAGGGCATTATCTTAACATCAATACTTAGGATAAACCAAATTATAAACACTTGGTTGTTGGGAAAGCATTGCATTTCATAATCAAGTCATGTGAGTTTGAGCCAGTCTGAATCTGTCTCTTAAGAATCCAGTAATTTTCGGGCCGGGCGCGGTGGCTCAAGCCTGTAATCCCAGCACTTTGGGAGGCCCAGGCGGATGGATCACAAGGTCAAGAGATCGAGACCATCCTGGTCAACATGGTGAAACCCTGTCTCTACTAAAAATACAAAAAAATTAGCTGGGCATAGTGGTGCGTGCCTGTAATCCCAGCTACTCAGGAGGCTGAGGCAGGAGAATTGCCTGAACCCAGGAGGCGGAGGTTGCGGTGAGCCGAGATCGCGCCATTGCACTCCAGCCTGGGTAACAAGAGCGAAACTCCGTCTCAAAAAAAAAAAAAAAAAGAATCCAGTAAATTTCTTTGGACATTTGTGTACGAGGGAGTTGGCCTTGACATTTGATTTTCAATGAC